GTTTATCCTGTATTTGATTGTGTTTATCTGCAGTTAGTTACACGAATTCAGATATGGGATGAAATCGGATAGGGATAAACGGGTTTAAGAGCTTTTAAGAGTTTAAGAGTTTTAAGAGTTTTAAGAGTTTTAGCCAAATGCTTTATAATATAGTATAGATATATATATATATATATATATATATATATTTTAAATTTATATTATATTCAAAAATAAAAACACTATCTTTTTCTTAAAACGACATAAAATCGTTTTATATCGATATAAAAAAAATAAAATGAAACATTAAAATCAAGATGTGTCTCAATATATTGCATGAGAACCCTGCTAGTTGTAAAAAATAAATTAAGATATTTAAATTTTAGTCAGGTGTTCCATATAATCTTGTTGGTAGTACTATATTGGCTAGTAGAATTAAATCCTTGGTAATCTTGTTCAACCATATTCAATTGGGTTGGATGGTTCAATCGTCTTGGTGGGGATAACCCCACCCTATCCTCATGGTTCGATGGGGCTAATGGGCTAGTATAGTTAACACCATGGTAAGTTTGTTGAACCCAATCCAAATGGTGGTTCAATGGTCTTGGAGGGGTTAATGGGCTAGCACCATGGTAAGTTTCTTCAGGCGAACCAAAATGGTTCGACAGTCTAAAAGGGGTTAACGGATTAGTAGAGTCGACATGTTCTTGAACCCAACCCGTATGGTTAGATGGTCTTTGAAGGGATAAGGGGCTAGCACAGAGGTAACTTTCTTGAAACCAGTTCTTATGGTTCAATGATAATGGGTTCGCGGTATAAAAGTAGTGGTAACTTTCTTGGACCATACCCGCATGATTCAATGCAGTTAAAAGACCCGAAAAGGTTACTAAATTCGGGCAGATTTTAGCCTCCAACATCTCTGCAAACAATTCGATAGATTCGTGTTTCCATCCGTTTCTGCTACATGCCAATATCATCGTTGTATAAACACTTGCTTCTTTCCGCTGCAAGCCGTGAAACAACCCGTAAGCTTTATCAACACGCCCAAATTTTGCGTATAAATCTATTAGCAGAACACGCAAACGATCATCCATCACAATTCCCATTTGGTTCATTAATGTGTCGTTGATCCACGACCCAAACCTCAAGTCCCCCAATTGAGAACAAATGGATATAACCGTAGCTAATGTTACGTTATCGGGTTGAATGCTCACATTTGGTTGAAGCATATCATCAAACAGCTGGAGTGCGTCTTTTAACCAGCCATTTTGAGCATAACAAGTTATCATGGCATTGTACAGCAACCGATTCTTTTCACCCATTTCATCAAATATTCGGCGTGCAGATTCAACAGCTCCCTTTCGTGAGTATCCATCAATCATTTTGATACAAGAAACAACGTTTTGTTCAGGCATCACATCATAGAAATTGCGTGCGATTTCCATGTTCCCAGAATCAACATAACCACCAATCATCGCACTCCATGAAGCTAAATTCTTATTGGGCATCGGTCCAAATGAAGCTATAGCCTTCGCCATATCCCCTGTTTTCGTGTACCACGAAACCATAGAATTCCAAGAAGCAATATCCTTATTTCCCATCTCAGAGAACACTCGTTCCGCCATGGACAAATTCCCTGATTCTAAATATCCATCTATCAAACAAGATGCTGCATTTCTCTCAGACATTTCAATGAACACCTTCTTTGCGGTCTCCATATCATTAAGTTTCGAATAGAATCCGACAAGAGCAGTTCCCACATGAACATCTCCACAAAGCCCATATCCATGAATTTGAGAATGTATCGTTATCCCACCAATCCGATTCCCGAGATTCGCACACGCCTTTAGCGCAAATGCAACAGCTGAAATGGTAGGCAAAATCTCTAATCTCTGCATATGCACATACTCAGCCAAGACTTCTTGAAACTTCCCATGCTGGAAGAAAAACTGGATCGCAAATGTTCTTGAAATGATATTTGGATGTTTCGATTGGTGGAGAAGTGATCGAAGATAATGGATAATGGATTCAGAATGATTAGATGGAGTGCTAACAATTTGGGTGATTACCATCGGCTCAAGATAGTTAACACCATTGATGAGTATTAGGGCATGGAGTTGCTTCACTTGTTTGACAGTTAGAGAGTAATTCAAGAAGGTTGCGACTTTTGAGACCACCGTTGAAATGATATTGAATTTGGAAGGTTTGAAAGGATTTGGGAGGTGGGGTTTCATCTTGTTCTTCAATCAACCATAAAACAGAAACTTTTAGAACCTGCAAGAGGTACGAATTATAAGGAAAAGTAAATAAACCAGATGGAAAACATAGCCAATTGGAGAAGCAATACGTCGAACAGGTAATAGGCAATAAGGCAAACCCAGAACTCAAAATCATTTGAATTGAAACAACAGATAGAAAGCTGAGAGAAAAGCTTAGAGGTCAAGAATGAATGCATCAATGGCTCCATCTATAAGTGTAAAACTTAATTATAATGGAGAAATTGTGGATTGGATACATACCTGCAACTGCAATATATGAAAAAGGCGATGAAAACGGATTACTTTCAAAAAATAACGATGATTACAGCTACCGAGTGGTTCTTCTTGAACTTATTACAGGGAGATAAGCGTTTAGTTTGGAGAAGGGGAGATGTTGACGGAGGTGGTCCCCGTTGAGAGGCGGTGGATGGCGCCGGAGAAGGAGACGGTTTTGTTTACTCCGTCAAAAAAAATAGGGCCGCTTAAAAACGTTAATGGGAATCGTAACTCATTAGGTCAGTTTTAGGGGCTGTTTGGTAATTATTGAATAGTTAGATGCAGAATGATTAATTGACCAGAATGATTAAGAGACTCTCATGATATGGTGTAAAATAAAATATAATTGTTTGATAATTGTGTATAATAAAATCAGGGCTATTAATGGTCAAGGGAAATCCATGATACAAAATAATTCAGAGAGTTTTAGAACCATTAAGAGGCAGATTTTTTTTTTGTCAAACAAGATTCATCTCTTAACGATTCAAAGGTTGTCTCTTAATGGAACTATTAAGAGGTAAACAAACAACCCCTACTGATGTTTGGCATCGTTATAATGATATAAAAAGTGGTTATTCATCAGGTTTTTAGAGGTAATTTTAATGTTTTATGTAAGAAGTCTAATTTTTTCCTCCAAACATGTCTCTTTCAATTAAAAACATGTTTTAGTCGTCTATGAAAAACTTTCATAAACAAAAATCTTCTGATCTATATAGACATATTAATCCACATAAACAGCTTTAATCCTTATAAGACTTGATGAAAAACCAAACAAACGACCCCTTAAATTTTCCCAAAATAAGTGTTCAATTTCACAAGTAAATATTTAAGGGGCGTTTGGTTTGCATAATGTTTTCTAAAGAAATTAAATCTGTCAAAAGAATTTGACTTTAAATAAATTGAAATGAAATTTTACCGCACGTTTGGTTGGAATGGATCGGAATAAAATCAGTTAAATGATATCAAATTTGCTTGTTTGATTGATAGAAAGTAGCATCGGAATTGGAATGAATAAACAATAAATGACCAAAATACCCCTTTTACAACGGTGGTGGCCCACGGTGGTTCAGGACGGTGGTGCTCGGCAATGGTTCATAATGGTGGTGGTCGGTGGTAGTTCAGATCGGGGAGTAGTCGACGGTGGTTCAGAATGATGGTGGTCGGCGGTTGTTCAGAATGATGGTTTACATCAGTGATGGTCTGTATTCAAGTTGTGATTAAGATTAAGAGCTCTGTATCGTCGGGTTAGACTTAGAATTGTATCAAGTTGAACTCTGTATGCTCCATGCAGAAGCTTTGCATGTACTATGCAGAGGCCAGTGGCCCTATATAAGGATTTGTGTGCAAGTACTTGAAATACGTAGAGAGCTCTGTACCCCGAGCTCTGGTTGGGAATATTAGGTTAACAAGGA